AATATCGATACCAGCTGTGCGCAGAAAAAGGAGGGGATTCCTTCCAGGGAACATCTGAATTTCAACCCACTGCCTTTCCAATATTTACTCTGGACATAAAGTCTCAAATACTTTTCCGAGGATCTCATTTTTCTGCGGGAGGCGGAGGTCGGAGAGAAGTCTGGGCAGAGCTAGAGGAGAGCCTGGCAGAGCATGGAAATAAATGCAAAGACACGCCCCAGAAGGTTTATCCTCACATCAGGCTGGCTCTCTGGGTACTGCAGACAGCAGCTTCCCTGCTCCCACCTTCCTGCCCACCAGGTGCTAATGAGAACCCCAACAGAGATCCGCACTCCAGCTGCCATGAGGCCAACAGAGATAAATGACAGCCCTGTGGGGCTGCCCCACAGCACCCCTGTCCTTCTTCCCCCTACCAGCACCATGCCAGCACCAGGACACGCCATTCAACTCCTCTCAAATGATAACACTTCTTAGCCACTTCCTAGAGTTTTTCCAAAATGTTTCAGAGAAGCAACAGGATCCTGAGCACTAGCACAAAAGATAAAAGCCTCATTAAAGAGAAATCTCTGCATGAGTTCTGAGCTCCATTCCATCACCTTTAAGAGAGATCACAGGTCCTGAAATCAAGAAGGTCTTGCTGCCAGCAACACCTGTGGACTGAAGAACCCATACGAAACGATTTAAACTCTCTTCATTTATATTCCTAACTCCCCAATTTTAACTAGGCCTGATGGCTAAAATAAAGGACAACTTCCTATACACAATTTCATATTTATGCATGAATAGAATAAGCATAACATAATCCGATAACACGATGTAAAATATAACAGACTACCACACAATACAACCAGGGAACCACCTCCAGTACTAGCATGAAGTAACAGGTTGTTTCAACTTTTCTCCTATACATGGATAATTCACCCATCTGTTCCTTCTATGGGAAAACAAGATAGAAGAAGCGATACAACAAAGCACAAACCTCAGACTGAAGTGCCAGTTCTACCACCTACTAGCTATGGCTTTGGGTAAACCATTTAATGTTTCCAGGTTGTGGTTTCCTCATCTGTAAAGTAGGTACAATAACAGTGTCTGTTATTAGCATAGTCACAATGATTAAATGACTCAATTAATGTGAATGCTTGGCAAAAAAAATAAGCCCTCAAGAATTAATCATCATAATGACAATAATTATAATAATTACTAGAACTATTAAACACATTCACTGACCTCCAGCTATGTGCTAGAGTCTGGAGTATGCAGCAAATAATTTCAGCCTTCTGATTTTGCAAGTCTTTAGCAGGGCATTGGGTTTCTCGTGGCCACCCCATGAATATGACCTCCTACTCCTGCCTTGGGATGATAAAGGTCCAAGCACCATAGCCATTTACAGCATAAGGATCTACCTCTCCCCACCCCCAAAGCCATGTTTAAACAATTATGAGCATTATGTTGCAGGTACCCATGATCACAGAAGACCAGTCCAGCACAGTGCTCATCTTGCAGAGACGTCTTTTGTGTGGGTTTTGGGTTTCAGCTGGGCAATGCAAAGCCTTAGAGTGAGTCGCAAAACAAGTTTTCATAAGCTCACCCTGTCACAAACCAGGCAGGGGTTCATGCTGACATCCCCACAGTAAGATTAAACAGCATGCTTCGTCAGGCACTAAATACTAACACAGCTCCAACGTCAGGAGGACACTGATTAAAACTGATGTCAATAATTTATGAAACACAATATGGTCTTCAGATGCTCTTTTGAAAAAAAGGAAGGGGGAGAAGGGGCCTAGCAACCCAGGTGGTTTAAAACTGTTCATGCCTTTTCCCTTGAATGTACAACCCCCCCCCCCGCCCCCGACCATGCATGGATGCTTCTTTACACGATGAATGTAAATGCACATGTGTATAAAAGCATGTGAACACTGCTGATACATATGGGCGGAAGAAAGTATTTAGTTATTCCACTGAGAGCTGTTGAAGCTGTAACGTTATACATAGTCTTGTCTTTCATATTGTTTTGAGGGTTTTTTTTTTTCTCCTGGAGAAATCCAAAATTGCATTTGAAATAAAACTGGATTTTACAAAAGTCCGTGTTAATTCTGTAGAGAACTCAACCATGAAACAACACTTAAAAGAAAGTTTGACAAAGAAAATCACACAGGATATATATACACATATGTGTGAATACACATACATTTACAGGTCTCTTAGTAGTCTGAAAGTGGCTCAGCTGTATGTAGAATAACCATTTAGTCAGATAATAATATCAAAGTTTGAAAGTTTTAAGGTATTTTTTAGAAGTTGGGAGGAGGTTAACCTAGAGATGGATGGCATTTTATTTTTTATATCTCATGTCTCATTACTTTAAAAGACAAAAAAGGAGCACAGTGAAAATGCTTTTTCTATCAAGACTAATTTCTGGGATAAAAACAATATCCTTCTTTATTTTGACTTAGTTGTAAATAATCTGGGTAGCCTGACTTTATAGGTCAACAGTGTGAAATTCACAAGATGGGATTATGTTGGGGGGGAAAAATTTGAGCCGCTGATGGTACAAAAGTTAGTGTTTGAAGGATTTATTAATGCTTTTCCCTAGCACAGTGCCCTTTAGTGTCTCAGAACACCTGTCAAATACTAATTCATTCACATATCTCCACTACAGGGCCTTTTCATAAAAAGCTCGACCTTTCATTGTAAATCACTCCTAAATTGTCTTTGCTAGCTTTCTCTTTTGCGGAATGATGGAAAAATCACTAAGACTTCAATTAAGACTTTATGGGAACTTCAACCTGACATTCCCAGCTATATCTACAAGGTATCAGAACATCTATTCAAAAAGGAAACTATAAATAACTTTAACATAGTTGAATTGGCTTTGCTTTTATGAGATGATTGAATAATTGGCAAGATTTAAAGATACTTTAACTACTGAGAATTAAAATAACTTCAGTAAAAACCAGAAAATATCGTTAACCAATTATTTGTCATGTAGATTATGTACTTATTAGGCCTAATTAAACTTTTTGAACAAAAACCACTTACTAATTACATTAGTTAATATGTTGATTGCTCAATTTGGCTAAAAAAATAAAAAACCCAGTCAATCCAATTTGTGCACATAGTTAGCGCTCTGGTCAAAAGACAAAATCCTAAACTACAGAGATTATTTCAAGTGCACGACCATTGTTGTAACAAATGCAGGTTACCGTCTCCACGTCCAAAGTGAGAGGAAGAGATGGGGGTGGGTGGTGAATCTGAACAATACCAAGGCTAAGACAAATCTTCAAGCCAGTAGAATGTTACCACAACATCCAGCTCGTTGGCCTCAATGTATTCACTTGCATTTGTCCAATTAGACCCTGCTGGTAAAGTTATCTTTCATATGCACATACAAACTAAAACTGATAGCAAAACCCTGGGAGGCCCTTTAAATGTCAATAAAGGGCTTTTACGCACAAAAGAAAGAAAAGAAAAGAGGAAAGGGGGAAAGAGAAGAGATGGGAAAAACCAACATTTCTGAAGGAACTGAGCAGATCAAAGGAATTTTATTCTCAAAGACCACTATGGCTATCTCACGGTAGAATCCTGAAACGTCTCTTCAAACTGGCAACCAGCTCTATCCCTTCAAGGAGGGGACTGAACAATTAGGTCTGCAGAAGTGGGACAGAAGGAGTGCAGAAATGGAGGCCTGCCAGGCAAGGAGAGGAGCAGCCCTCTGCAGACCAGGACGTCTGACTGGGCCTCCATGCCGACCACGCTCTCCAAGATATGTTTGTTCTAAAGTCTGCATCCACAGTCATGAGGCACAAGCTATTCCACAACAACATGACACAATTAATCAGAACCAGACCTTAAAACGTGTGTTTGTGGGGACCAGCAAACTTTCCAATGTGCCTTCAAGGGTGAAGGGTACAATCAAAGAGCTGGGGAAGGGGGGAGGGATTCTGTATGTTCACAAAAGATGCACCCTAACTTGTGTATTTATGGATTAAATAATGTTCATTAAATCAAATGTGGGGTTTGGAAATTTATGTCTTCATCTGGAAAAGTAAGGCATTGTCTTACCGTCTTCCTCCCTCTTCATTTTTTTCCTTTTCTGGGCAGAAACTGATGCCTGGGTTGTCAACAGCACCAAAGTTGTGCCATTCAGAAACAGAATCTAAGGAGTGCTTTTTTTTTTTTTTTTTTAAAGCTTCATCTCCCACCGAACGGTATTCATCAGTCCCGGTTTTCTCAGATTTCTCTTTTAGGATCTAAAGTTCTATTAAAAAGTGAGAAACTGGGCCTTTAGTTAATTCAAAAATCCTTAATTTCACCAAATCCTGATGGTAGCCAAAAAAAAAAAAAAAAAAATGCGGTATACTTCTTTTTTGGACCAGAATTGAATTAGTTTAAAATAATTACGAGCTCTCCTTTGTAATTTGTAGATAGTGATTAATTTAAATCACATTATTCTTTGGCTAACGCAAACACGCTGTTCAAAGAAAAAGATTTTTTTTCTCTCCATTAATGACAAGTAAGGGCACAGGCGTGAGAGTCATCAGGTACCAAACTGCACGTCCCTTTGCCATCTCCCAAGGGATGTGTGGTCGTGGCACTGGAACTTCCCGGGAACCCGGCCGGGGTCTCCAACAGCGCGCCCAGCTGCAGCCCTAGGAAAGGGCTGGGGGTGGGGCGAAGGGGGATCCTAGGGTCCAGCCAAACCCAGGGGAAGGCAATGAATATCTGCATTTGGATCCAGGACGAGGGGGACGAATCGACACATTTTCTGCAAAAGTAGAGCGCTCTAGGCGAAAACCCGAGCGTCCGCTGCCAGCACCGTGAGAGCCCGCGGACCGGCTCTCTGCCTTGGGGTGGAGGACATCCCGGAACGCAACTCCCGCGGTTCCCGAGACATCCCCACATCCCGCTAACGCTCGGTGCCGCCACCCGGGCGCTCCCGAGATCCCGCGGCCGAGAAGCAAGGGAGCCGCCCGCCGCCCACATCCCCGCCGCACCCCACTCACCCACGCACTCGTTGGCTTCGCGGGCCGTGGCGCGCTGCCAGGGTCGGTCGTAGTGGAAAGGCTTGCAGCGGTCGCACTCCGGGCCGGCCGTGTTGTGCCTGCAGTCGCACACCAGGCTGTCGTCGCGGTCCCGCACGCAGCGGGCCGCGTGGCCGTTGCACTTGCAGCGGCCGCCCACCTGCAAGTCCGACACCGCGTAAAAGTAGGAGTCGCGCGCCAGCTCCGAGTCGTCCTCGTTCTCGTCGCCAAACGTGTGCAGGCGACTGAAGGCCACGCGGATGTCCGTGGCCGTGACCCAGTCCTGCAGCACCGGCGAGTTGTCGAAGTCGTGCGCGGAGGGTCGCCCGTCCAGCGTGCTAAAGGCAATGAGGCCGCCCGAGAGCGGGCGCATGTCGGTGTGCGAGTCTGTGCACACCGCCTCCTGCTCGTTCTGCTTGGTGATAGGAGCGCGGTGCGGCCGGTTGTACATCTTGCGGCACTGCGTGGAGTAGAACTGGAAGGGCACCCACGTGCGCCCATAGTCCATGGACTTGTAGATGGCCATGGACTCGGGCCGTGGCGAGCAGAACTGCAGGCTCACGTAGGTCACCTCGAACTTCTTGCCGAGCGACAGCGTGAGCGTGACGTTGTGCGGGAACTGCAGATAGTTCTCGGACTGCCAGCACGTCAGGTTGTGCGGGTTGTTGAGGTCGGTGAGGAAAGCGGGCGGGTGCGCCTTCTTCGGGTCCGACGCGTTGCAGAGGTGGCAGGAGCGCAGCCGCTCCTCACCGCGCTCGCTCACCACGCAGTAGCGCGCCGGGGGCCGGCCGCAGGTGCTGGACACGCGCACGTCCTTGCCGAAGGCCGCGTTGACAAAGTCGGGGATGCAGCGGCGCGGGTGGCCGTTCTCGTCCGAGCAGGGGTCGGGCTGCGCCGCTTGGCCCGCAAACATGCTGAGCCCGGGTCCGCCACGCACCGCGCCCACGAGGCACGCCACCGCCGCCAGCGCCGCCAGCGCCTCCCACACGGCGCGCATCATGCTGCGTCCAGTTTGCCCCGGCCCGGCCGCGCCGCGGAGTCGGTCCGCCCGCCGCAGAAGGCGCCTGCGGAGAGAGGGGAGCTGCTCTCAGCCAGCCCGCCCCGCGCCCTCCACCCCTCCGCCGGGCGCCGAGCGCCGGCGCGGGCGAACGCCCGGCTCTCCCCGCGCCGACCCCGCGGCCGGCTACGCGCCACGGCCCCCGAGTCCCGAGGGGTGAGGGGCACTGGCGAATCCGTGGGCCCCCCACGCCCGCACCGCCCGCACCTCTTCTTCCCGGGCGGGCGGCGAGCTGGGGCCGCCGGGGAGCACTAGGCTGCCCCGCCACCGCCGCCTCCACGCCGCCCGAGGGGCATGCCCACGCCCGCCCGCCGTCCAGTCAGCCCGCCTAGCACCCCAAGTCTCGGGCGCGGGAGAGCGCGGAGGCCCCCACAACCGCACGGCCCGCGTCCCTTTCTCCCACAGACTGGGGTCCCCCTCAGCGGCCCCAGATCGCGTCCCCGCCGGAGAGTCCGATTCGGGACTTTACCTCTGAAAGGGGAAAAGAGAAAGAAAAGTTTGCCCGGCCCGGGTCGCGGCGCCCGCGCGCCGGACGGCGGAGAGCCTCTCGCTCGCTGCTAGCAGGGCGTCCCGCCTCAGCGCGGGCTTGCCAGCTCCATGCCCGGCCCGGCCGCCGCTGCCCCAGCCCGGCCCCGGCCCCGGCCGCCGCCGCCGCCTCGCTGGCCCCCGTGACGCCGCGGCCGCCCGGCTCCCGCCGCTCCTGCCGCGGTCGGAGAGCTGCCCAGCCCGCGCCCGGGGCGCACACACGCTCGCGCTCGCTGGCGCGCACTCACACACACGCACGCACGCCCCCAAAGGCGCCGCCGCCGCCGCTCGCGCTGGGAGTGGGGGGCGGACGGGCGCGCGGGGGCGGGGGCGGGGGCGGGGCCGCCGGGCGGGGCGCCGGCCAATAACGTCGGCGAGCAGCCGCCCGCTCGCGAGCAAAGTTTTCACCCCGGGAAAGAAGAAAGTTACCGGGAGCGGGCCGGGGACGCTGAGGGGGCCGGGGCGCTAGCGGGTGGCAACCCGGGAGCCCGAGAAAGAGACGCAGGGACAAAGAGAAAGCGAGGAGAACGCCCGGGGAAACCCCGGAGAGGGGGCTGGGCTCCGCGCGCACCCCGCGGAGGAGGTGGGGCCGGCCGGGACTGTCAGCCTGGCCCCGGCCCCGCGCTGCCCGGAGAGCCCCGCGGGTTTTCGGGAGCCCTCGGCTCGGGGAGCGGGGAGGGCACGAGGGAGAGGGAGTGCGGGAGCCGGGGAGTCGGGGGTGGGGGGTCTCCCTCCTGGCCCCAGCCAAACACATCTGTGTTTGTTTTCCTTGCTGCGCCGAGGTCGGGCCTTCCTCTATCCCAGCCTGATGGTCCTAGTGGCACCGCGCACAGGCCTTGCCCCTGTGGGTAGACAGTCCGGAATAGTGAAGAAGAGGGCTTTAGAGTTGTCACCATGGTTGTCCATAGTTGTCACCATGGGGGTGGGTCTGTCTGTGGGGACAGCGGCTCCCTTCGCGCCAGCGGGGCTGGGGGGGGGGGCAGGAAACGATCGCCCCTCTCAGGCGTCTGGTGACCTCAGGCTGGGAGCAGTCCCACAACAGTTTTGCAGATAGGCATGAACTCCGTTTTGCAGATGAAGAAACGCAGGTCTTAGGAGGTGAAGAAACTTCCTCAAGATCTCCTGTCCCGTAACCATCAAATCCAGGGTAACCCACCCAGTTATAGTCTCACAGCACGTCCTCTGGACTCCTCAGCTTCTCCTTCTTTACCTCATTCTATGCCACCTTCACAAAAGAGCTAGAACAGTGACTACATCCTTTGACCATCTTGGAGCAGCAGCCCAAGAGTTTTGGGGTAAAAATACACTGAACTGAGAGTTTGGAGCTGAATTGCTTGCTGTTGGTTGGTTGCTTTCAAAGAGTGATCTAGTAATAGACCTGGATGGCAAGTCCATGGTCCTGGGTCTGGCCCAAAGGCTGACTTGCTGCTGTATCTCCATTAAGTGTCTCATTTTGTCTTATTGGCATTTTCATAGACTGAGAATCTAAGGACGGGCCTCAGGGCTCCTCTGGCCCAGCTCAGTCTCCTTGGAAGAATGCCTTCCGGAGACAGGACCATCCCAGCCAGCTCTTCCAGGAATGGGAGTTCACCATAACCCCAGGAAATAAGTCCCTTCCATGGTAAGACAGCCTGGATTCATCCTCTCCCCTCGAGTAGTACTTCAGCTTTGCCTTCTTTTGCCACTTACCTCTCACTGCACTTTTTATTTATGCCTTGCCTTGTGGCTGAGCAGATTTCAGGTGACTTACAAGGGTACTTTAAAGATGGTAAAAAAGGGGCCTCCCCAGTGGCGCAGCGGTTGAGCGCTGGGTTGCGAGGCTGCCCGCGGCCTCTGCAGCGCCGGTTTGATCCCCGGTGCGCTAGACCTCTCCTGCCGCCCGCTGCTCCCCTCAGCAGTGTACCTCGGTCCTTCTGCCTGCTCTGCTCCCCGCTCTGGCTCTGGTGAATTCTCTCACCCTCCCGCGCTTCTGACTGTACTCAGTGCTTGTGTAAATAAATAAATAAATCCTTAAAAAAAATGGTAAAAAAGCATAGATTAGAAAGGGAGGTGAAGGGAGATAAACAAAATGTTTAACCATTTCGGGAAAAATCCAACAGCACACTGAAAGGGAGCACAGCATGGGGCTTTGGCAAGTTTTCCATCTTTCTCTGCCCTGGTTTCCTCATTGAAAAATAAAATCTACTTCATAGGTTTGTGAGCATCAACTGAATTAACACATGTAAACAGTATAACATACACTATTACTGTACTTATTTGTACTTATATCATCTTCATGGATATATTTTCACATATATGTATGTGTAAATATACATGAAGCAGGGCCTCCCTAGTGGTGCAAGGGGTTAAGTCTCAGCACTATGAAGCTACTGGCAGCCACTGCAGCACAAGTTTGATCCCCACTCAGGGAGGTGATCCACATGGTGCAGCAGACCTCTCCTGTCTTACCTGCTGCTCCCCTCAGCAGTGTGTTTCAGCAGATCCGCCTGTTCTGTTCCCCAGTCTGATTCTGGTGAATCTTCTCACCTACCCACACCTCTGGCCTACACCCCAGTTTTTGTATGCAAAAATAAATAAATCTTAAAAATATATATACACGAAGCAACTGGATGTTAGAAATGTTAGCTGTAGTATTAAACAACTAAGACTTTGTAAAAATTTAAAATTAAAAAAGAGCATTTAATTATATGGAGAGATGTCCAAAAAAGCAAATTATAAAACACTATGCCTCATAAACCACTATACACAGTATGCTCTCATTTTAATTTTTTTAAGTATGCATAACAATGTAAAATTGTTAATTGTTGCTTTTTTCTGGCGAGTGAGAATACAGGTGATTTTTATTTATTTTTGCTTGTATATTCTCAAGTTAGTGTAGTAAAAATGAAGAAAAGCTAAGGGAAGAAAGAGAAACCAAGAGCGAAGAACAAGGAAAAATGGGATTAAAGCTAAAATGCCCCCTGGAAACCCCCATTCATCTCCTGTGGGTGGGCCACAAATTTGTCCCTAAGCTTTCCTGCAGCCAAACTGAAAAGGAGACCATGTTGGTTACACAATTCCCTGTGTCTATGAGATAAAAACAGACCTATTACTCAAGAGAATTACAACTATTCTTGGTACTAAAATCAGACAGGAATTTCTCCTGGAGGGCCTCATAAAGGGAACACAGTGTGAGGTAATGAGCAAACATCCTCAACAACATCCCCATAGCAGTCCCAACAGCTAGCTGTGTGGGGCGGTGCCCGTGATGGCCCACAATACAAGCTGATGGCAGGACACCAAAACATAAGTCAGGGCAGTCTGGCAAAGAGGGGGGTGAAGGAGGCAAAATTGGGTGCTAGTCACTGCCCACCAGACTTGGATCTGTTTGGGGGATCTACCAGACTGGATCACCCAGTGCACTGCAAGCCTTTCTTGTACTAGTTTGTTTCTGTCTGCAGAACTCTTGACGGGTCTTGCATGGCAGCAAGTTTGAAATTGCCCTCCCTGGAGTGCAGCTTCTCTGCACTGCCAGCTGAGCTCAAGCCAGAGGTCTTCAGGAGGGGTGCAATGCACTTTGCACCTTTATTGTGGTCACTAGAGTTAAGCTTATTTTCTTTAGCAGTTCTGGTGGTAGGATCATCTCATCTTGTCCCTGGAGGTTTAGGACATACCAGGACATAGTAGAACTCATCTGCTTCTATCAGAACCTACCTCCCTATCACTTCTACAACCAGTTCAATTTCAACCCTACCCAGCAGCCCAGATCAAGGCTTTGCCCTCCTCTAGTTTTTTAGTTCAGCCCTCTGTCATCTCTCAGCAAGATGGTCCCAGTTCTTTTAACAATTTCTCAGAGGACATTGTTTTCTGACTGTTCTGCAGCCTCTCCCAATGCCTCTAATTTATCAGTGTCCCTTCCTAAAGTATACTGCCTTCTGAGGGGACAAATGAAAAACACAGATGTCCCAGTGTTGTCCCAGAGCCTGGCAAAGGGGGTTGGATTATAAATACACGCCCGTAAAGGCATGTCAGGCTGAGAGCAGCAGGATCTACCATACAAACTGGAGTTCAAAACACAACAGCACAGATCTTGGAGGAGAAAGCAAATTCCCAGGTGTTTCTGTAAGGAATGTGTTGGGAGGGGGAAACCTCCATTCTTGGCGCCCAGCCTCACCTGCCAAGCCTTAGAGCTCACCCGAGGAAGAAGAAAATGTGGCAGTTTCAAGAAAACTTAGAAGCAGAGGAGGATGGAGAAAACCAGAGACTCCAGTATTCTAAAAACCAAGGAAGGAGGGGCAGGGAACATGTCACATGCCTTCAAGGTCAAGATAAGATCTGAAACAATCCTTTAGATTAAGCCACAAGGAAGTCTTTGGTGACCTTGACAAGCAGGGACAGAAGCCAGACTGCCCCGGGTTGTGGAGTAAAAGGAGGTGAGAAAGAGGAGATAGCAAGTGTGGACAACTTCCAAGAAGTGTGAAAACAAGCGGTAGGAAAGAGATAGGGTAATAGCATGAAGGTGACAAGGGATCCAGGAAGGGTTGGGATTTTTTTGTTGTTGTTTAGAAGATAAGGCTATTGGACATGCCTGAACATTGATAAGAAGGAACCCATAGGTGAGAGGTTGAAAACCGATAAAATTAGCCTTGTAAAACTGATGGTGACATGGTCTGAAAAGTTTATTTCAATTGGGATAGGAAATGAGACTATCTGCTGAGAAGGAAGGAGCTGTGGATAGGACCATCTGCATTTTAAGGATAAAAGACAAGGCTTGATTGGGTCGTTATAGAGAAGAGACTAGCCTGCTGGGCAGAACTCAAGGTCCTATTGAGACTAGTGAACATCTATGAGAAAAAAAGACACCTACCCTCCCCAGCAGTGCTCAGCAGCCCCCATGTAGACCTAGAGAAAGCAGAAGTGTTGTATTAATCTACCACTGAGGGTTTATTCCAGAAGGTGAGACATAGGCCAAAGGGAATAGGGTGGCTGATGTGATGGACCCTGCAGACAAAGATAAAGAGAAACGGAATCAAAGATAGAATATGCAAGGAAGAGAAAATGGAGGCTGGGGGTGTATAGCAGTGCTGACAGTAGCCAGTAACCATAGGTAACTCTTTCCATTTTAGTTTGGTTTATAAAAATTAAATTAAATGTAAAGCTCAGTTCCTTAGTTGCCCTTGATTTGGTAGAACCAATAACTACTACCCCAATATTGCAGAACTATCTGACAGAGCTGGTCTAGGGGAGTCAAGAAGCTGGATGAAGCCACATGGTCAGGAATACCTAAGGAGACTGTCGTCAGGACTGAGGATTCCAGAGGTGGAACAGCTCAAGGTAATGACAAGACACTGAGGACAAGGGGGAGGTTTCTGCTGGGAAGCACAGGTAAAGGTGATTAGAGATAAGGAGGTCAAGGCCCCCATGAGGTGCTGTCCACCTGGCTATCAGGCTCTCAGGGTCAGCATCAGGGCTTGGGCAGAGATGAAGGCTGACCCGGGCATTGGTGTCTTTGAGAAGAGAGACTGTGATGGAGAGATAATTCCAAGGATGAGCTGAAGAAGGTAGAATGGTTGTGTGATTCTGGCCAAAAAGAGCAGGGTGACAGTGGTGTTTCATGAAGATGGTAGGAACACTGGGGATTAAGTAAGAAAACAGCTCTCCCCTAATGGGTGTTGGAGATACGAGGTCCAGGGGAACAGCGTCACTGAATGGGCTGCAATGTGAGTGGTGCAAAGGGCAGGCCAGGCGGTTGGGTAAGTATGAAGGTAGGTAAGGACACAGAGAATGGTCTGTTCCTAGGAATGGGGGCGCCAAATGGCACAGGTCAATGGTTTTTTGAGGACAGAGAGCATAAAAGAGTAAGGAAATTCTCATGAGAGAAATGAGATGACCAGCAGGGCCTTCATTTTGGGCATGAATCATGGGTTTTACTTTTAAATACAGCATTTATATACTGCTTACTGTGTGCCAAGCATGCTTCTAAGCACTTTATCAATCACTAGCCATAATCCTTATAAAACCTTATAAGATGGGTATATTATTATTTCCACTAACAGAGCAGGAAACTGAGACACAGAGGAGTTGTCTGAGGATCACTGGTGAGTAAAAGAGCAGGGATTTGAACTAAAATGGTCTGAGTCTGGAGTTTGGGGCTCTGATGAGCATGACAGTCTTAGCTGATGAGGAATTTTCCAATAGAAATGGACCCCAACCACCTCTCACAGGAGAAGGGATCTGGTGCTATCAGAAGTCTGAACTGTGACTTGACTCATCATCTCGGCACATCTGTTTCAGTTAAGGGGACAAACACTTAAGGTTCTATGACTTCCAACACAGGCTGGAAATAGTAGCAGCAGAGGTGATCCTGGCATCTGGCATCTCCAGAAGGGTTAGTATGGCCTGGCTTGACTCTGTTTCTTTTGGAAATGGAAAGAACTTGACTTTAGCAAAACTTGATTCCAGTTTACCATTCACTAGCTGTCTGATCTTGAATGGTTGCTTTACCCATCTGAGCATCAGTTTTCAGGGTGAAATGGGGGTCATCACACTTACCTTACAGGCTTGTAAAGGTAATTTGAAATATGCATCTGAAAGGGAAGAGACTGGCACAGAGTCAATGCTCAGTAGATAGTAGCTTAGGATTTGTTCATTTTCTGCTTCTTTAATACTCACAATCCTCAGAACTCACTCCCAGATCCCTCATCCTGAAGAACTGGAGGTATCTTCATGTCAAAGCTTCTAGAGGCCTTATCAGCCTCATGAAGTATTGTTCAAAGGATCCCAGTTCCCCCAGCAGGATTTCAGGAGACATGACAGTTTTAGAAAAGCTTTCAGAGCCTGGAAGGACAGGCCTGTACAGTGTGTGGGGTTCCTGGAGATTTATCCATTTCCTCAGTGTTGCTTATTTGCATCTTCAGTTCAGGCCTCCCTTTTGCAGGTTTCTTGGCTGAGGATTCAGGAGTTGGGCATAGAAGCCCATACAAACCCCAAATCCGCCAAATCCTTTAATCTACCAGAGCTCTTTGAAGGGGTGAAAATGCCTGTGGATAAGGGGAACCAGCAGATGTAATTTATTTTCATTTGCAAAAAGCTTTTGACAAGGTCCCACCCTGAACGCTATTAAAATAAAGAAAATGGGTCACCGTAGGGGGAGGCTTTGTCATGGATAGAAGACTGGCCTTGGAGGAAGGAAACAAAGGTGCAAAGAAAAGGACGGTTTTCTGAGTGGAGGAAATAGTGGGGGGCCTCTGAGCTCAGAGTTGGGGCTCAGCTCATTTAACATTTTATACAAAATCTGAAGGAGGGAGTCCCCTTGGTGAAATCTCAAAGTTTAGAGGTGATAATGGAGTAATGCTGGGGGACAAGGGGTGAGTTGGAGGATCTGGAGCTGGTGTGTGAAAGACCACAGGACACAGACAGGTTTAGCAGTAGGTGACTTACGTGGGGAAAAATAATTCGAAATATCCCTACAGGGGAAAAAGGTGATCAGTTATCATTAAAAAACACTATTTTAGGACTCAAATACAAACTGTTTCCTTAAGATTATTTTTCCACAAAGATGCCTTTGGCACTGGGGGCAGGAAAATTATTCACTGAGCAGCACATGCCTGCTCACCCATTCACTACTGAACGTTTAGCATCTCTGTTCACTATATGCTAGTAGGTTACACACACACACACACACACACACAGAGAGACAACTGAAAAATGTATAGATTCCCCCTAGAATAATCCCCTCTATCCCATTCTTACCCACTTGAAATTTAGCCTAATGGACTAAGGCCAAACAAACAGGCTGAAAACACAGAGAATTGAAACAAGACAGGATGCATTGAGGATCCCCTGGAAAGTTCTAGTCCTACATCTCAAAATGACCGTAGGAGTGGAGATGGCCCAGACAAGAACAACAGGATTGTGTAAGTGTTAGGACATAAATAAAGCAGAGGAGGGGACATAGGAGGGAAGGTGGATTTTAGGCAAAGGATTGGGAGTGTTTGAGAAGGATCAGGTAGAACAGAGCTTACAGAGGAAGGGTGCAATGGGGACCTGGGGGAGGAAGAGGGTACAGTCCAGGCAAAGGAAACAAGCAAGCACAAATGTCCTGGGGCAGAGTGAACAGGAAGGAGGCCAACCTGATGGGGAGTTGGGGACCAGGATGGGAAACAGTAAGAGGTGAGTTCAGAGAGGCAGGTAAAGGCCAGGGCATGCAGGCTCTAGCAGATTTTGATAAGGAATCTGTACTTATCTATCTTGAATACTGCCAACATCCTATAGTCCTATTCCTATAGCTCTTGGTATTCTATTTTTTCCCTGACTAATCCATGAGCTCCTTTTTTTTTTTTTAAAGATTTATTTATTTATGCATACAAGAGCTGGGGTACAGGCCAAAGGTATGGGGAGTGAGAGGATTCACCAGAGATGGAATGGGGAACAGAGCAGGCAGATTGACAGAAGTACACTGCTGAGGGGAGCAGCGGGCAAGTCAGGAGATGTCTGCTGTGCCTTGTGGGTGGCTCCCTGGACAGCCGGGGGATTGAACTCATGCTGTAGAGGCTGCGGACAGCTTCATAGGTTGCGTCTTAACCCCTTGTGCCACCAGCGAGGCCCCTCCATGAGCTTGTTGAAAGGGGACTAAATCTTTTCCCTCTGAATTCCCAGTGTTGTTTAACAGGTTATCTGGTACCAAATAGGAGTGCACTACAAATGCATTAAAATTCATCAATCATAGACCACAGAACTATGGACAATTGATGATGGTGAGCAGCTATGGTAGGTGGGAAATGCCCTCCCAGAGATATCTGTGTCTTCATTCCTAGGATCTATGAAAGTTACCTTATATGAAAAAGAGGGCCCTATGCAGATCTGATTAAGGATCTTGAGATGGGAAGATCATCATGCACTACCTGGATGGACCCTAAATGTCATCACAAATGTCCTTTGAAGGGAGAGCTGACCAGAAACAAGAGGAGACAGCCATATAAAAACAGGAAAATTTTGAGGGACGCAGCCACAAGCCAAAGAATGTCAGCAGCCACCGGAAATGGCAGACCAAGGAGCTGATTCTTCTCTGTAGCTTGGAGGGAGCACAGCCTCTGATTTCAACCCAGTGATACTGATTTTGAACTTCTGGCCTCCAGAACTGTGACAGAATAAATTTCTGTTGTTTGAAGCCATCAAGTTTGTGGGAATTTATTACCATGGAAACTAATACAACAACAAATCCTAGAAATGCCAGAACTAAGAGGATCCCTTGCAAATCTTAAAAGACAAGCATGGGGTTTAAATGAAAGGAACAAAAACAACTGCTAATACTCTTATTTTGAAATGTTTCTGAAGGTTCCTTTGGCTTTTCTTTTTTTAGTAGTATAGTAGTGACCACATCTCATTTTTCTTTCCCTCTCCCCATGCTGAATGCAGTACTATCACTCTAAATTTGCCAAATATTTGATGTTTGCATTAAAGTATTATAAGTACCCTTTTCTGGGTGTTTAGTTATTATAAGCCTCCCTTCCTGGAGCGTTTAAGGCTTTGTTAACCCCCTTTTCTGGAGACTAGAGTTGCAGTGATTTGTGATTCAGAATACAGCCCAGAAGTAAGTCAGTAATCCCCTGGGTATTTGAGACAAGGGTAGATACCACATCAGGGGATTCTGGTCCAGATGTCAGGAGCTCTTCACTGAGAAGTGTTTGCAAGCTGAGGTCAGGCATTTTCTGTTCTTCCAGGGTCACAGAGAAGCACAGAGTAGGATCCTTGAGGGAACAGGTGTTTACTGAACATTGATAACACAAAAAATGGACAGCTGATCAGAGACTCTATCCCACCCACCTCCCCGGGATTCAAGATGTGTCCCACCATCAGTAAAAATCCTGAAAGAGGGCCTGCTTAGTGGCACAGGGGTTAAAGTCAACGCTATCAAGCTATAGCCAGCCACTACAGCATGAGTTGGATCCCCGGGCAGGGAGGTGATCCATATGGCACAGCAGACCTCTCCTGTCTTGCCTGCTGCTCCCTCAGCAGTGTATTTCAGTAGATCTGCCTATTCTGCTCCCCAGTCTGTCTCTGGTGAATCCCCTTACCACTCCAACCTCTGGCCCACACTGCAGTTCTTGTATGCATAAATAAAAATAAATCTTTTTTAAAAATTCCTGGGGGCACTACTTTATTAGAGACCATTGAGTTAGAGAACAAAGACTTAGACACTCTTTAGAGAGTGTCCATGTAGTGTTCACCAGTTTAAAAGTGAGGAAACTAAGACACGGAGGCTGAGCAAATTGCCCGGGAGCTGATGTTCCTAAAGATGACTATGAGTCATCGAAATGAGTTGTGGATCATCCATTCCACCACACCTGGGGAACACTGGCTATATTTGATTCTGCTAACTTAGGTGGAAAAAAAAATCATGATTTTGATGGAAAATGCTTTTCATGATGGAAAAATGACTACATACAAAGTTTCTATGTTTAAAGGAATAAGCTTCTGTTAACTGCAAAAATCAATTATGTGGAACAGCTTATTTTCCCCAAATGTCAGGAAAATGAGGTATTACTAGTCTACACTTCACACAGGGAGAAAATTTAGGGGACTTAATTCCAGGAGGTGGTACAAGATGAAAATAGACATGGACCATTGATTCTAAACAGATTGGGTAAGTGCAAGGCTTATTCAACCATAATTAGGTATTAAAGGAAACTAGGATTTGGGTGGAAGGAGGGGACTTTCACCTCACTGATGCCAACAGCAGGCAAGGACTGCTACCATGCCAGCCCCTAGGAGAGTGGCAGAACCCAGATACAAGGCTGGATCAACATGACCTAGACTAGGAGCTACTTTCTACACTTTGGCTGAACACCTGGCTTTATGGGGTCTCCCAGGAAACCCTGGTCCTCTCCCTTTTTGCAGAGAACACCTTGGTGTGTCAGCAAGGCAGTGCAGGCATAAAAAGGCTGCTTGGCAGCACTGTTTACAATAGCTAAGCTTTGGAAACAACCCAAATGCCCAAAAATAGATGACTGGATCAAGAAGATGTGGTACATATACACCATGGAATATTACTCAGCATTCAAAAAAGATAAACTCATGCAATTTGCAGCAACATGGATGGCGCTGGAAGGGATCATGCTCAGCGAAATAAGCCAGAAAGAAAAAGAAAAATACCGGATGGTCTCACTCATAGCAGTAATCTAGAAAACTTAAATAAGGGACCAGGGAAATGAATAACTATAAGAAAGTGAAAATCAAAATCAACCAAAAACTATGAACCAGAGACACTCTATGGGGGGTAGGGGGTGGGGAGGGGAGGGATTGGGGTCAAAATAAGGGGGTTGCAATTGTATGGGGAATATAAAAATAAAACAACAACCAAAAAAAGGCTGCTTGGATTGTGCTGCAGTCACACCTCTCTGGCCTTTACACGTCGGTGACAGTAGGTACTGTGGACTGATTGTGTCCCCCCACATTCATATGTTGAGCCCCTAATCCTCAATGTGACTGTATTTGGGGGTAACTAGGTTATGAAGATGAAATGGAACCCTCATGATGGGATTAGTCCCCTTATGAAAGACACGAGACAGATGATATCTCTCCACTGCGAGGACACAGCAAGAAAGATACTGCGAACCAGGAAGAAAGGAGCCAAATTGGCAGGCACTTTCTTCTTGGACTTTCCAGCCTCCAGAACCATGTGAAATAAATGTTTGCTAGTCAAATTGCGCAGCCTGTCGTATTCTGTTAGAGCAGTCCAAGCTGACTAAGACAGTAGGCAAGGCGTTTCACCTCTCCGAGCATCAGCTTCCTCTTCTGAGAAGTGTGGACAGTGATATTATTTGTTTCCCCCTTCCCTCCCTTCTCCTGTCCTTTCTTTCTTTCATCTCTGCCATGGATAGCACAAGACTGGGGCAAATAAACACATGCAAAAGATCCTGAAGTGTCCAAAATATATATAATTTTTATAAAGTTGACCCAGTGGCAATGCTATCACCATGGTTACCACAGAGACACCACTCTCTTGGAAGAATGACCAAATGCCCTGGGTAACTGGAGATAGTGTGTACAGGACATTGACAGCTAGCACTTCAGAAACACTGGGCTTTGGTATTAATGATGATCAATAATACATCATTACTAATAAATAATGAGTTAACAAGCATAACTAATAAATATCAACAACTGTATCTGCTTTGACTTGGTAGTTCCCTCAAGAGTGGAGTCTATATCACAACCATAGCCATAGTCACAACCGCAGTCAGTCAGTGTCAGTGTCAGTCACAACCACAGTCAATGTCAATCACATAGTCACAACCACAGTTCTAGTCACAACCTCAGTCAATAGCAATCACAACCGTAGTCACAACCACAGTCATGGTCACAATCACAATCACAATGACAACTCACACTTGTAGAACACTGTTCTCACTGTCAGGTCAGGCCCAGTCTGGGAACTGGATGTTGGGCCTGTCAAGGAGTTAATGGAGAGGTTGGAAGTGAAATTGTGAGAAGCTTCTCTTAGGGAAGACAAGGAAAGGGAGGATACGCTCCTATGAGGCACCATGACTGGGTACAACCTCTTTCTTGTTCACTACTATGTGCCCAACACCTAAGCACAAAGCTTCCTACATAGTCGGTGTTTAACACATATTTGCTAAGTGAACACAGAGGGGTCAACTAGGAGTCCACACGTAAGGATCAGGGATTTCTGCTTGTCTAGGAGCAGATCTGGACTTGAGTGTAGTGGGTTTAGTTTGGGTCTTCATCCACAAACCTTTGTTTCCCACTGATTCTTCAGCAGTATAAAGAAAACTCACAATGCAGGTATGTCAGCCTAGTTCTAGAACTCAGTTAATTCTTAGCCTCATCGAAACCTCATAATCTGTGACATGCATGCACATACACACACACACACACAACTTCTCCTGGCTCCCTGGGGAGATCCAGCCTTTTTCAACCAGAGCCAAGGACCCTCCCTGGGCTTGGTGCCCTCACTCTGGATCCAAAGGGCTCAGGAGACAGCTGCCTCCAGCCTGGGCCCCCTCAGCTAAGATCTGATTTTCTCATCATCTGGATAGTCTCAGCAACTCCCAGCAAAGGGATGAACCAGGCTGACCTTTCTGGAGGTTTGTTTAAAGCAGAACAACGTTTGTCTTGTCCAAACACTATGAATTACTCCAGAGAATCCTGCCCAGTTTTACAATCCACAGCTACAAATGGCTTACATAAATAGGGATGTGTCCCCTCTCCTGCCCCCTCACTGTTCTAATAGCTTTTCCTCCCCCATCCACTTCTTCCATTCTTCCAGGCCTTCCCTCCTCCCTCCATCCCACACCTTCTCTCCTCTGAGCCCAAAGGTGGTGAAGAAGCAGGTGCTGGGCATTCCAGGCCACAGGTCACATCTATTGGCATGTGGTGGGCTGTTCTATCCCTCGTGTGGGCAGGGCTTGCCTTGCTAAGGGAAGGCCTCTGGACACATTTGTCCTGTCAGTGTGTTGCCTGTAGTGTCCAGTATTTGATCCAGCTGTGAAAGCACATAGGTAAGAGGAGGCCTCTAGATTCAGGGCTTCAATGTCCAGTGATTCTGCAATCCATTTAGACTGTGCCTCACCTATCAGGGTCTCAGCTTGCCTACAGGTGCTCTCTCATAGACTGCACATTCAGGGAATCCCAGGTATTTCCTAGACATAGACCCCACCCACTATGGGGCCTCCAGGGTTGGGGGTGGGGGTTGGTTAAGAGAAAGAAAAGATGTCTGTTTTCAAATGTGAGGCACAGAAAACAGCAGAGCCTATGGTTCTGGGAGACAAGGCACTGAGGAGGGGAAAGAGTCCAAATTGGGCTGCATTCCCTAAATAGAGTCCCTGTAACACCTGCATCAGAACTTTTAGGAGCTGTTTAAAATGCAAATTTCTGGACCTCTCCCCCAGGCATAGAGAAGTTTTCCCTGAGGGTGGAGCCAGAGGCTGGTGCCCAGATTCTGAGATTCACTACCCTGCAGTGAAATCTAGTCCAAGCCCTCTGCCTAACTAGCTGGGTGGCAAAGCAGACCACACCAGGTCTTAGTATTGCCTCTGTACAATGACTCCAGAATCTCTGAAAGGCCGCTCCAGCTCGTAAAATGTATGGCTTCAAGGAGCCCTAGATACCCACACCCAGAAGCAGCAGGGTGGGTAGAAATAACCTGAGGAAAAATTGTGGGGAGTCACTAGTGCTCCCTATGGAAAGGTGTTGGTGAAGACAAGGGCATGTGCAGCAGGATTGGTAGTTG